CCTAAACCCTGAACCCCTACACTCCTTGTAGGCGCCTTGGGGCCTGATTGGACATCCGGGCCTTGCTGTTGGCACCGAAGTCCAGTGCTCCAGCGCAGGCTTCCACGCACTTGTGGAAGTCTCCCACTTTCAAATAGCAGGCCTAAGCTTACAACATGTGAAATGTGTGGGGTTTCCTGTAAAAATTGAAGAGCTGTAAGAGACACTAGGCCCTAGGTGTGTTGGGGGATTTTAGGGGTGTCCTCTTTGAGGATTCCATCTGGATTGTCCTGGGAACCTCTTATATTCTTGCAAGGACCTTCAAGAGACCAGCTCAGATGCTGGAATCAATCCAGAAGCATGTGAGCTATAGTGCAAGCTCCTAGTATCGCCCTCAATAACCCNNAGGAGTTTGGACTATAGCTCGTGTGACACATGGATCCCTCAATTCTGTCATGATTCTCTTAAAGACGAGAAAAACAGCCTCAGACCTTTATGCTGCAGCAGCACTATACCACGATTGATTACCCTGACCGGATCGTACGCGGTGTTGCGTGCCGGGTGTTGACGTCGCATGCTAAATATGGGAGAAAACCTGCTGCGTGGGCGAGTGCTAGGTCTTGAATGCTGAAGCCACTATGCAGCAATTACAGCTGACAGCTTAAGCCTACAAAATGAGGCAACAACAAAACATCTCACCAACCCATGAAATTTCAGCTAATCGCATCGTGTATTCCTGCGCCATCAAAAAATGCTTCAGCAGCCGGGGCACAGCCATGTTTAGGCGGGTGGCCTGCTTCCTCCAAAAGCAAGGGTTCGGTTTGTGATGGGTCTCTCAAAACATGAGGACGAGTATGGTGGATGCTAAAAATCCTGCATGACCCGGGGTAACCTAAAACTTCGGATGTGTAGCATTGAAATGCACACAAAGGTCACGCACGATCTTTGTAGATAGAGTCGGGCACCTCAAGCTTGGGTTGGGCTAGTAGGGCCGGCCGAAAATAGCAATATAATTAGATTGGTGGCCCGTCTTCGAGGGCATGAATTCAGGCTTTTGAGGCCAAGCTTTCAATGCCGAAAAGCGCAAGTGGACAACCTGATCTTGGTTGAAGAGCTCGGCTCTCTGGTTTATGTGTGTATAAACATGAATATGTATACACTTATATACGAGAAACCAAGCGCATGAGGTTAAGCGTCACCTGCAACCATGCCTCTGCAATGAGACAGGGGAGGAGTGGGACGAGGAGCAGCAAACGAGGATGTAGCAGGCGACGCAGCAGCAGGAGCAGCAGATGATGCATTAAGAGTAGCTAGAAAACGAAGTCGGCAACAACAGCATTCACGATGCTAGTCATGGCATTGATAGTAACGACAAGCCTCACCATGACAGAGTGGTCAAGGATTTAGAAACCATTCATCCACAAATATCCAAAAGTCAGAATCCTGTTCCGGTGAGAGTAGAAACCTTTTGAGCACCACAATGTTGGCAGTCGCGATTGTCCACATAATCAACACTATCCATCATGATTCATGGTGGTCTTTCTCGTGATTTCGTAGCTCGAACACACGCAAGAAGCCTCAAAAGAACTCAGGACAGGAATTCCCTTCGCACTCTAAAGCCCTGATGGGAGTAACAGTATAGACCCCCAAATCACCAGCTTGTAATGCCTAATCATGTATTTCTGGAGTCCTCGAGGCTACTTTCTGGGATAATTCCTGTCGAAGGTAAGAACTATGGGCCTGTAGTATGAGCGGGGGCGCGTATATACCGCTGATATACGCCATAAACGCCCTGCACAAATCCTCTTAGGGACCCATAGTTCTGACCCCGGAAACAGCTAGGGCCATCTAAGCCCTCAAACCCTAAACCCCAAACCCTGAAACGGCAAATCCTGAAGCTAAACCCTGCGCCCCAGGCCCAAACAGGTAGGGGCCATAGGATCCCATGGTCAGGACGATAGACACTTGTATGATCATGCAGTACTTAGGGACTTAGGGTTACTAGGTGGCTTGTAGGGGTTACAAATATTTTTTCCTAAGCCCTGCTGACCCTGAAGGTATCCCAGAAACCCTAGAAAATTGGAAGGCCCATATAAATCCAGTGCCCATTTAATTTGTCTCGCTTCTTTTCCATCTGATCTTTCCTCGTTCTAACATATCCCAATATCTCCCTGCATCTATCCCTATGCATCTCCAGAAGCTCAGAATCTCTGTTCACAGTCGAGGTTCAGCCGCTTCACATCCTCGACGCGGTCGAACGGGATCTGATTGCTGCCAGCAACTGGCGGCTCCTGCGTGTACAGTTGTAAGGGAGCTTCTCAAAATTGGAGGGGAACCCGGCAATACATGAGGAGTATGGAGCGTTCCTGTATTGGGGATCGCATAGAAACTGTGCTGAGCAACTCCCACATGCTAAACCTTGAAGTGGCCAAGGTTGGCCCATCTTTCATCTGTTGCCGCATGTTTCCATATACTTGTAGGGATTCAGGGCTCCAATGTCGGCTCCTTTCCAAGCAACACCTCCCTTCGATTTAACGAGGTGCTTAAACTAGCCGCCTGGAAGAAGGATGCACTGCAAATACCAATGAAACGCGCCGCCATTTGTGCCGCCACTGTGGTTGTAACACCTGCCTCGAAGCGTCAGTTGTCGCGTTAGCAAGATGACACATCCGAACCTGGGTTGCTCACGTTTCCCTGAAAGCTTTCTACATGCAGAAACAAAGATTCTTCTAGGACGTGCGTAATTACCCCCTTACCCCTCCTCCCCCCTTCCCCAACCCCTGAACATCTAAATAGAAGAGCGAGCAAATCAAGCTCAGATGTAGCATATTGCCAAAACAGTAGATGACACGTTTTGGCCTCATGTTCTCAAACCACAGCGGCGGCGCGCTCGCGCGTCTGAAATTGCAATTTTAGATGCGAAGTTGGGGGCTGCCGAATCGGTATTCAAAATGGATTCTGCTCCTGTGGAAGGAACAGGGTAGGCCCTAGGGGGGTGGGGAGCTTAAAGTTAGGATGCATCTGAACACAGTTACTGCCCAGTACAACGGTAGACTCAACTCCCCAAGGGCCAACTAACATGTTGGCGCATCAGCGGGCCAACATGAGCTGAGTCCAAACAAGCTGAGTAATCTAAGCAATTTAGATCAATTTAGGCCAGGACTCAACGCAGCTTGTTCAAAGAGTCAGAATAGAATGCATAATTTATGTTAAAAAGAGCAGAAAAAAGGATGGACGATGGAGTGCCGCCGCAGTGGCGGCGTACTGTACCTGTCATCTCGTCCCACCAACAGGGCCCAAGGTCCTGCTGGTTGTTTTCCTGGCCCGCGGGCGGCAGGGTGAGGCCATTCACGAAGCAAAAGACCTGCGGGGAAGAGCTACGAATGAGAGGCATCAGCTTACACGCCCGCACGGAGTGCCCGTCATCATCCTTCACAACAACTGTTCGCTCCAGTTTTGTTAATACTCTTTCTTGTCGTTGTGTGTCTAGTAAGGTTGCTGCAGGATGCATCCGACATCCTGCCTTGTGGTAGGCTCCGAGGGCGCGCTTGTAGTTGCCTGGCAAGGCCCAGCATCCCCATAGCCACAGGTTTCCCTGCTACACCCCCCGACCCCCCATACTGTCCCCTCTAGGTTGCCCCTCAATTAGCTTACATAGCTCTTGTTTTCTGAATTATGAAAATTCAATGAACCTTGGGAGATAGCAGGGAAGCCCCTAAAAAGAAAAACAGCACTTGACAAGAGTCCGCGTGAGAAGAACAATTCAGCATGCACTCACCAATCCTCTGGCACCGTAGAGTTATCTCAAACCCCTTGTGGAGGTCCTCCGGCATGCGATTTCCCAAAAACAACCTAGTCTTCCTTCAGGTTCTGATCAAATCCGCAACTCCAAGCCTCAAATCCTAAGCCATAAACCCTTTGGCCCAGGCCTTCTGCATGGAAGCGATTTCCTTCCTCCTACAGGTGATGATGGCAGCGGAATATGAGAGCTTGATGATACGGGAGTTTTGCAAGATAATGAAAAAATAAGGTCATCTTCCTCCACCTGATCTACCTATGACCCAAAGTTTCAAGTTGCCGTTCCCCCAACTGGACACCCAACATGTACACTCACCCTCATTCCTCGGAACCCTACATGAGCAGTAGTCCAAACTCCAAGTATCCCTGTTCATAACCCCAATAATACTCCCCGAGATAATCCCCTGTATCACCCCCTCAGAGGAGTTTAGACCCTAAACCCTAAACCTTACACAATCCCCTATATGACCCCGCCTTTCAGGAGTTAAACCTATAGCACATATGCGTGCACTAAAAAACATAATAAGAAGGCCCATATCCTTGGGGCCGCGTAAGACCTCTACAGGCCCCGGATCCTCCAGAAAGGGTTTAGGGCACAAGCTCCTGCTTCTTGGAGAGGGGGGGAGGGGGGGGTATAGAGAGCATCAGAAGAGAGCAGCTATGAAATGTGTTGCCATTTCTTGCGCTCAAACCCTACCGCAAGAACAACACAAACTCGAATGAGATATGTGGAGTCGGCTTCCTGAATCAGCTGTAGGCGCTTTTCGAGGGCTTCCACGAGCTGTGGTTTCGTTTTGGGTGTTTCTATGCGCTAGATTGCATACATAGGGGGTCCCAAAACGGAACCCGTCTGCTTGCCATCCTGGCTATTGTTACGGGTGTCCCCTCCTTACATGGAAAAAACAGATCAGGCACCGCAATCTACATATCAATGTTATGTAGCATTGCTTGGCGATTGATATACATCCTCCCCACATGCTGTTGGATGCCTCTGAATACCTCTCAGCAAATGGTAGCATTTGGTAGTTTCCCAAAATAGGGAGACCCCAGTATAAACCCCCCAAATACTGTAATCCTTAGTATAGGGACCCCCAAGAAGGGTACCCCTAATTTTGGGAAACCATCATTTTGATGCACTCAAAGCTATGTCAAGCTCAGCTCCTTGAAGGCCTCAGCCTGCTTCAGCTGCTCTTCCACCATGGCAGGATACAAGAAACTGGAGACGAAGTCGGAGTGAGGTGACTTAAGTTACCATGATATAAGGGCTTTATAGGGGTATGTAGGGTTTGGTGGGGAGTGAGGTGAGGGGATATAGGTACCCATTGGGTGGGAAGGGGGAGTGAGGTGAGGGGGCTGGGGGCCGGGTTCTGGGGCTGGACGACTATTTGAGTTTTTGCGCTGGTCCCTTTGCATGGCAGGCAGAGGCTGACGCGTGTTTCCCGTGCCGGCAGTCTTCAAAAAACACTCTGGCTTCAATCCGACTTAGCCCCCCGATTAATTAATGCAGGGGCCTGATTGATTACCAACGTCATTTTGAGGTCTATTTGAGGCACCCTAGACTATAATTACGCAAAGCATCTCGAACCATAGCATTGTTAGGCTTCTACATTCTTCTACATTACATTCCAGCCCTGCCTGATGTCTAGCTCCAGCTTGATACCTTCCTTTCGACTCTCAAAGCCAACATCGTGTCGCAACGCAGTTGCAATTCCATGGTTGCTGCGTGCATGACCACCATGAGTGGGGCCTCCTGCTGGAAGCCAGAAGCTGAGAGCCGGATGATGTTTGGGGTTTCTCAAGAAAGGGAGATTTTAGGGAATCGCGGGGATGTGTAGAGCTTGCACGGGGATTGTGGGGGATCCCTCTTTTAGAGTCATTCTTGGAGCTTATGCGCAGAAACCTCGACTCGAAACAGGCAAGGAGATTGCGCAAAGAGGCGTCGTGGACTTGATGCTGGAATTCCTGGGTTGCTGTTAAGGAACTTAAATTAAGTTACTATATTGGGGAAACCCTCTTATTTACTATATATACCCATTGTGGTAACCCAAACCCAAACCCTAAACCCTAAACCCTATATACCCACCATGGTAACTTAATTTAAGTTCCTTAACAGCAACCCAGATTCTCTGGGCTCCCCACTCCAGGGCACAGAGCTTCCAGCGACTGTGATGGTCACGCCTGAGGCACTTGAGTACCTAACAACCAGGACCCTCCTTGTACCCTTAATTGGGGATATATGGTCACGCCCCGGCGGGCTCCCCCCCCCCTCCCCCCCCATGGTATGGTCCCTATCTTCTAAGGTCTAAATCAAGA